AAAGGACGCGTCAAAAATCAGATCGGCGTCGATGTGCTGCATAACTTTTCAGACATGTTTAACATGTTCAGTTCAGTTGTTGACAAGTTTGCCTTCTTTCGGTCTCCCAACTACCGCCACAGCTAACGCTTTTTTTTTTCCAATCAGAAAAGAACTTTGTCCCTGTTGCCACCCAATTTAACCGGCATTCTAAAGACAAAAAATGCGCGTAGGAAACCACCAAGATAAGGTTTTAAATTTGGTGATGTGTTAGCCTCTGTTTTATACGAATTTTTCAAGTCTCCTGGTTCAATTCAGATCTCTAAATTTCCATCTACTTTTTCTAAAACAACCTTCACTTTTTATAGGGGGCAAGAACTCAAACAACTATCACTTTCTAGGCTCTGTCTCTTGACTATCGAAGGTATGGTCGGTGGCTGCGTCCACGAGTTCCAGGTGCAAAAATCGTATCCAGCTGATTTCTCAGCTGGTCCATCCGTTCCACGAACACGTCTGCCCATCTCGTTGGTGGTCTTCCTCGGGGACGTTTTGCTTCGCGAGGAATCCATTCCGATGTTCTTAATGTCCATCTGTCGTCTGTTCTTCTCATGATGTGACCGGCCCATCGATGCTTCGCTTTCGCAACGTAATCCGCTGGGTCACGAAGACGGGACATTCTCCTCATATCCGTACTGCGAAGTCCGACGAGATGTTGTTTGTGTCGGGTCATCTTGAGAAGACTACGCTCTAGCGCTCTGTGGGTGGTCCTGAAAGCTTTCGAAGTGGCGACGGTGTCAGCCCAAGTCTCAGCTGCGTAACAGAGCGCCGGGAGAACGGTTGAGTCGAACAGGTGGGCACGAAGCTCCGGGTCCGTCAGTTGGTCGGTGGCTTCCTTCAGAGGCCCGAAGGCGGCCCAGGCTGCTCTTCTTCTCCTGTTAAGTTCTACCCTCAAGTCGTTCTCCATGTTCATCGAACGTCCGAGATACACGTAAGAAGACGTCTCCGTGATAGGGGTGCCTTCCAATTCCATTTCTGCATCTTCGCAAAGGGCGTTCTTCATGAACTGAGTCTTCTTCCGATTGATTCGCAATCCGATCTTCTTCCCTACTTCGTTCAGTTCCTTCAGCATCGTCTCTGCTTCAGTGATACTGCTCGAAAAGAGAACGATGTCGTCCGCGAAACGAAGGTTCGACAGGAATCTCCCATTAACTCGTATGCCTCTCTCGTCCCAGTCCAGTGACTTCATCACCCACTGCAAGGCCGCGGTGAACAGCTTCGGCGAAATTGTGTCGCCTTGTCGAACCCCCTTCCCAATTGGGATGGTCAGGGGGCGATGGAATAGCTGCATCGTCGTTGTACAGTCCTTGTAACAGTCGGCTAACGTCCTCACGTAAGCTGGGTCCACTCCTTGATCGACTAGCGCAGACAGGATGGCGTTGGTTTCGACGCTGTCAAAGGCTTTCTCGTAGTCGACAAAGGTTAGGACGAGAGGCAGTCGGTATTCCCGGCAGACTTCTATGACCCTCGAAACCGTCTGAATGTGGTCCATGCAGCTGAATCCTTTGCGAAATCCAGCTTGTTCTTGGGGTTGGGCTTCATCCAGTGTCCTAGATATGCGAGCGAGGATAATCTTCGTGAAAAGCTTTTCAGCACACTCAGCAGCCATATTGGACGGTAGTTCCGAAGATCTTCCCGTTCACCCTTCTTGAAAAGAAGGACGGTTCTTGATGTTCTCCACTGGTCGGGAATCCTTTCCTTCTGAAGGTGATAAATCAATTAAATTTGGGGTTTTCTATTGTAAACTCGAAAAATATTAGGTTGAACCGAAAGTTCTGTCGTTTCATTTTCAAAAATTTGTAACTCCGCGAAATTTTAACGGATTTGCTTGCTTGCAATTTTATTAGAAAGAATAAGTCTTTCGCTTTCAAATGCTTTTCCGTGTAGCTTCTGTTTCATGTTGGGTGTGGAGATAAAAATGGAAAACTAAGACCATATAAGCTTTGACCATTTTGTAGGTCACCAAAAATCTGGAACGCTACAAAAAAAGTCTGAACTCTACAGTACATATGTTTTTTAGCCTACTCGACACTGCAAAATTACAAATTTTCAAAGATAAAACGGCAGAACTTTCGGGGCAATTTAATATATCTTAATATATCAGGCACAGGTGGCACATGTGCAGGTTGGATATTTCGGAAGAAAAGCAACGGAAATATTGCTTTTGCGTGAATAAAAATTGTTAGAATGCTAATGGGAGACTGAATTCTTATAATGACAACATTTTGAAGAGACGGCTGAACAAAGTAAAAACAAGATCCGTTTCCCATGCCTGTCGGCTTCTGCGAACACAACTTCAGCGACCGCCACCTCCCTAAGTCAAATGTGCAACCTCCCCTCCTTTGTTCTCCACCTTCAGTCTCCCTCCACCCCCGCCCAGTTAGATGCACGAATCTGATATGCATGAGCTCGATTGGGAGTTGAAAAAATTTATGGAAGTTTTTGAAAGAGTTATGTGAAGGAACGACAAAATTTCAGTTGAAACTTAGGTGTCTTGTGTCTGTTGGTGGGCCAGCTGAGTTGACTTACAGAAAACAAAGTCATTATTTATTTATCTAATCACATAATTCTCTATCTTTCTTTACATAAACTTCAACTTCTTTCAAATCTATATAATTCTACCTTCAAACTTCCTCCTTCTCATATACTCAGATAACACCCTCCGCACTTTATTCGGAAAGATTTGGAAAGACGTAATAACGGCATGAGCACCGATCCAAGCCAGAGTGAAAGTGTACCAGAAAGATGTAACAGAATTACCAGTCACACTATTGATACCAGCAAGCCCGATCCACCTAGACTAATTCATGAGAATTCAATTTTAAGTTCACCGCTAAAATTCTAAGGTAGTTTCTGGCGCATCTCTAGTCTGCCATTAGATAAATTCCTATGCAAGCAAAGTCTGAATTGATTTTGCCCACCTCGAAATAACTGAATGGAAAGACTGATGGTCCTTAGTGGCTAGATTTGGAAAGCCAGTATTTGGAAAGGTTCCAACCTAGGTTATACCCGGTGAAATTTGGCGAGTAAAGCCTATGAACAATACGAAGTTTGAAAGACTCTAAATTTTCGATTTAAGAAAAAGAACTGTTCTCTAATCTTTTGCAAGCATGCCGAATGCATGCTACTTCATAGTGAAAAAGGCTATTGCATGCGAACCGTTACATGATTTCCAGAGATACGATATCATTTGACATGATAAACACTACCGCACAAGTTGATTTGGATGCTAGAATAAGCAAGCCATCTTTTTCGTGTAATTTTTCAATGAGCTTGATGTATTGGGACTGCTGATTTAGCAAGTAATTGAAGGGGTACCTAATAACGGTGATAGTAATTTATTCAAAGTGCGTGAACAGGTCATAGAATAAATCTTCGTTCGACCATGCTTGATCTGTAAAATGCATTCTGAGCCAGTAGAAACCCAAACTTGCTTTATTCTTGCCTTCGAGGTTGACTTATAATTTAATCACTAGCCACTTCATATCTGCTTAACGTAGATAACCTTAACATAGTGCTTTTGCACTTTTCTGACATTCGACTTGATATAGTCTTCCAACCTATACATGTCAAAATTCGCCTAAGAAGCGTTTCCTTGCGTTATAACATCAATGAGCGAAGAAATGAAAGACTTTGACATATCAAAGCGTTGATACACCAGTGAGACACTATTGCTCCCCGCTCAAAAATATTACTTGCCAAAGTGCTTCTCGAATGCTTAACTTTCCCGATTTTGCTCTGCGATCTGGTGAGAGCACTGATGAATTGACACATTACCAAAACCGTATCTGTTATAACTGCTTCCAATGAAGATGTGGAATGTAAAAACTCAGCAATTTGAAGATTCGTACTCGTTAATATAGAGTGCTAGAAACCGCTGCTTTCTATTCTGTTTTTTTGCTTCGAAAAGCTGCATGAATCTATTAGGTTATCCCAAAAGTAAATCATATTTTTAAATAAATCAAATTGTTTCTGTTTTCCTGGCAGACTTGGGGTACCATTCGATAGAGCGAAGCAAGCTCTGCAAAATGACGAGGACCGGTAACGGCAGAGTGGGCCGTCCAATCCGCGCGGCGGCGGCACCGCGGTTCGCGTTGGGACCCATGCGGATTACGGTAGGTCCCGCTCCCAGTGTCCCCCAAAGCACCTAATTCCTTCATTTCTCTTTCTATTTCACTCTTTGCTTTCATGACCGCTATTGGATTGGACTGCCCACTCTGCTACCGCTCCTCCAGTTGCCCCGCGACGCTCCCGAGCCGCCGTCTGTCTCTGCTGCCATCAATACGCGTTGCCAATGCAAATAGTGCAGCAAGTACTAGTTCGGCTTTCCTTGCAACGCACTTCCAATTCTTTGCTCTTTTCTTATACACGGCGTTCGTATTCATATATGCAAATGACGTTACACACACGATATTTGAATTTTGTGAAAACAGATTTTGTGTATCGCTAGCACTGTTCGCTCTTTCCCATAGCTCGTTTTGCATCGCTCTTTTTCATGCCTCTATAGTGATCAATATTAGTTTGTTGTGTTCCAGTGAAGCATTTCTATCGCTCTTGGATTGTTTCCATAACGCTGTTTCGCTCGAGAATCTAGTAATTTTATTCGTATATTAGTTCTGTACAGATTAGGATGGATCCGTACGCTTACAGCGCAACTACTGGCAGCGACAACTATCGTGCAGCACCTTTTCAGGTAATTCTTTTATGTAATAAGGCATATTGAGACGGTTATTGTAGTGGCGCTGCAGTGCCAACAACATTCGCGCGAAAAAATGACCACGGTGTGCGTTTTCTCAGGTTTTATGCCCATACGGTTCTTTACGCGCAAGTGATGTTGGCAGACACTGTCAGTCGTCGTTTTCTGATTGTTACATTTCTTTTCGAGCAGTTCTTGCTAATTATCAACCTATAAGTGCTTTCTCAAGACGATAAAGGGAAGAAAAGTGCATTTCACATTATTTCAGATGCAGGCCGTTATCCGCACCACTTCAATTTCTGAAGAACTTCCGCGCACATCCAAGCCTGAACCTGCACAAGCTCCTCATGATTTGCGGAACAATAACTTGGAAGTCCGGACTTTTTCAAGACAGGAAACAGGAACAAATGAGTTCAGAGCTATCACAGCAATTGACAGATGTGCACAGACTCCTGCAGCGGTAAAAACATTTTGTGAGAAGAATCCACCTTTGTTGGCAGCTCCAAACTTGGCTTCAGAAAAATTTCAAGTAAGCGATCACTCCTAGTCTCAATTAATCAGTGTTTTATTTGCACTAATTCTCTGGTCTATGCAACTGTCAGTCTCTGTTGTCTCTATCATAATCGACAGCGATGCTTATGAGGTTCGCCATGTTGAATGCATGCCATTACGGCTGCGTTCATACTGATTACGAAATCCGGGAACACTTCCAGCACAGTGCTCGAACTAAGCGTTGTGCTGGGACTGTTCCCGGACTTCGGAATCGGTATGAACGCAGCCTACGGACTGTCTGCGACTCTGCCAATCTGACCACTGTCTCATTGAGGAAATGCTAGTCCTTAGACCGCGAATGAGTAGTACAGTCTACCATGGCATACATTACTGCATCGGCGATTCAACTATGATGTAGAAAAAGTTATCTTTAGAGCAGTATCCAGCAAGAGTCAGTGTCGGCAGCACCTCCAACTTTCCAACAACCCGCTACCTCAGCAGCAGTTCCTCCCGCTATACAAATACTACCTACCTCGAATGCGCGAGTACAGGGTAAGCTTAAGAACTCATCTTAGTCTTTCCAGTACGAAGTCTTTGTTTAGATGAAGTAGTGGAGGAAAGTGATGACGACAATGTATTCCAAGTTGAACCAGATGACGACTGCATATTGCTTGATGATGAGCCAGCGGTGAGTAATTTTGCGGAGATGTTAGCATTTCTTCAAACAGATTAACTCATGTACGCTTAGTTCGTTTGATATCTTACTTGGCCTACTCGATTCCATCTTTTCCCCTAGGGTCATGATTCTTTCGATGAAATCGAATACACGGATACGCAACCGGCAACGGGTAATGCTTACCACCTCGACTCTGATTATTCTTTTAACGATGAAGCCTATGAGGTACGTGGAGTGTTCTTATGCTTTTACGCACCTTAGGCTTGCATACCTGGCGTCGGGTGTCTATACGTAACGGTGGCAGAAACGCATTCAATGCGTTTCGAGTGTAGCGAAGCGACGCCGCTGTCACGCTGCAGCAACTAAAGAAGTCGTGTCCTTACCTAGCGACTCATTTTTGAGCAGAGCTGCTCGTGCTGATCAGCGCTGATCAGCCGAAGCGGCGCTGCCTTCGCTGCTTGTTGGTTGTCCATACCCAAGCAGCGAGGTATGTATCAAGCCTTACAGCACCCAGCTGTTACAGCGCGTTATCACTTTCGACAATTCTAACCAGCCGCTGCGATGACAAAGGCCGGGCCAAGGTCTATATTGTCGGCGATTAGTTAATTGCTTTAGCGTGCCTCTATACTGGGCCGGCAGCCTGTCGCTAGCCGCTTTTGCGCACTATCCTAATAACGGGGCCTCAAAAGCGAAACTATTGATCTTGTTTATACTTGGTTTATCGAGGTTATTCGACAGATGATGCGAATAGTATAATCTTCTCAAGTTTTGGAAAGACATTTGAATATTGGGATGGTGCGCGAAAGATTCTAGGCGGCTAACAGCGGCTACCGGCGCGGTGTAAAGACAGCCTTGGCTCTTATGCTTTATTAGCAGGAGCATGTGGATGATTGTTGTGCTGCTACGGATGATGAGAATGGGCCATCTATCAGCGGTATGGTTCCGCATTCTACGAATAAGGTACATTCCATGATAAAATCATGACTCAAAACTTTAATTACCCTAATTTCACGTGTACAAGGCGCGGGGTGGTCCTAGCTTTCATCGACCAGCCCGAACACGGCAAAGGACTTCGCAACCAAAGGAACCCCATACCGTGCTGCGTTTTGCCTGACAAATCGTGCGGCATAAGGATCGCTTCTTAAAACACGTTGGGGCGGCTGAGCAGCTCGGTGAAAGCTAGGACCACCCCGCGCCTTGTACGCGTGAAATTAGGGTATATTCGTTTTGAAACTTTGGAGAATTCCCTCGTTGCAAGTCGTCATAGCAAGTCATTACAATCCCAAACAACTGGTCACAAACTTAATTCAAAACAGTACACAACATAAAACACAAGAAATACTTTGAAGGGTGTCTCTGGGGTGGTAGATCGGGAGCTCAGTTGTCATCTTTGACTGAGAAGTGATTCTTTTCATGTAACCAATGTTGGACCTTCGATATCCTTCATTCAGACCGTGAACAAGAATTACGCCTATTGCGATATTTGCAATCGGGGACCGTTTCTCGTTGCAAACTTGTACAAGCACCTGCGAAACGTCCACAAATGCAGTCAAGAGAGAATTAACCGCGTACGCAATGATTTGAAGAAAGCTATGTTTGGAAATGAGTTTACTTGCGAATGCGGAGCTATCTATCATTCAAAAGACGGACTGAGGAAGCACAAAAGCGCCGCTCATCCGACGGAATCGACTCATGCTTCTCATGGAGTAACTTGTCCAATCTGCGATCGGAGATCAGCTTCTCACCTTGATTTGATCGAGCATTGCCGGCACTCACATCCTTCTGCTGATCTTACTGTTCAGAGAAAGACCTTTGCATCGTGGTCTAGCTTCGAGGTACTTCCGATGTGCACAGGAGTTTTTCTAATACGTTGCAATTGTTGAGGTCTGGAAGGAAGAAGAAGAACGCAGAACTTGCTCCAAGCTGGTGAAACGTGGCTTTACTAAAACTAGCAAGGGCATAGTACACATGTATGGGTGTCACAATGCGAATGGTGCTGGTGGACGCATTGACGCTACTGAGCGAAAGCAAAGATATCGAAAAACCAGAAGAGTGCACAAAAATTGCACATGCTATGCAAAGGTATCAAAAGGATACGCATCCTTCAACTGGTGTCCACTTTCTTTGTGCCTCAGGTTACGCAGCAGGAAGGCGGCATGGTGAATGTCATAGCGTGTTTTGGTCACGTAGGACACGAGCTAAATAGTGCTACTATACCCTTATCGGGAAGCGATGTGGCAGTTGTACGATCCATGATTGAAGCCGGAATTCCCACAAACATCGTACGTAGATCCTTTCACGCAAACAAGGAATCTGTTATGTACCTGTTATCTAGATAGTTTCCAAACTGCGGACTACTAGATGGTTGTCGAACGTTACTCCGCAAAGGCAAGCACGGCTCTGTTTCATCACAGCAAGAGATGTAGCGTGAGTTGTGATTTTTCACAATGGACATCATCTTCGTCCCTGTTTTGCAGTAATATAGCCGCTCGTTATGGGCTCGTTGAAGGCATGAATTCCAAAGATGATAGGCAATCGCTAAGGACATTAGTCGAGGACCAAGAACAAGTCGCGGCAGTAGAACTTTGTGAAACATCGAATCCTAGTGGGGACGGGTTCGTCCTCGGTTAGTCCGAACATACCAATAAGTGATACAGTATAGGGCGTTTTCAGCATTTGTCACCGTCAATGGTAAGAAATATCTCGACCGCTATGGGTATAGAGGGCTAGTGTTTGATGACACTTTTAATGTCACTCGGTACTGTTTTCGACTCGCTACCCTGTTAGTTGCTGACGATGGAGGAAATGGCTTCCCTTGCGCGCATCTATTGTCTTACCGAATGACTAGTAAAGAAGTTGAAATACTTTTTGAATTGGTCAAGGTGGGTTCGAAATGGGAACTATCAAGTTCCTTAGGAGATGAAGAGGTTGATTTAGGAATGTGTGCCGCACTTTGAGCCGCAGTTCGTCGTTACGGACGACACTTACGTCTTTTTCAACGCTTTCAAGAAAGTGTTTCCTTCGAGTAGAGCGAACAAACTTTTGTGTTCGTTCCACATTAGTCAAAGCTTTGAGCGGAAACACAAAGAATTGTTAGGGGTAGGCTTACAAGCTGATTGACAATCAACGACTGCTAACTTGTCTAGGTAACCAACGCTTCTGCTGCGCAGAGCAGAATTAAAAGAATACTGATTGAGACCGATCCGCTCAAATTTGAGAACGCATACGCTGACTACCTTAGCTGGCTCACTATGATAGGCGCGACGCAGATGAAAACTGTGGGTTTATAGCTTACTTGCTTTAGTATGTCCTTCAATCAAAAACTTTTCAAGTACGTGGAAAAGACGTATACTTTGCGGAAAACTGAGTGGGCGAGATGCTATAGAAACGGGGCGCCATTTCATACATCGAACCATGCCGAGGCTTGGCATCGAAAACTTAAGCACACAATCCTACAAAACAAGCAAAACAGCCGACTCGATTGTATAGTATGGAAACTACTGCAGCATTCCCACAATCTGGATTTGCAGCTCACATCATCGGTCGGTAACGCCATGTTGTGTAATTCAAACTTTGAACAGAGAATTTTTTACAGTTGGTTCGAAATGGATGTGATCTTTCAAATCGAAGAAAAATAAATGTGCAAATGCATAAACAGGCCATACAGCTCTACAGATGCGCCGTATGTGCACTTTTCTTTAACATCTATGGGTATAAGAATGTATATATTACTATAGAATGCGATAATATGGGACGCTGAGAGTAGCTGGAAGGTTTTATCCTCAACCAGAGGCGTTGAGTACAGAGTGGTTTTCAAACAAGGCTGCGATTGTAATGAACAGGTAACTGTTAGGTCAAAAAATACAGTCTGCACCCTTATTACTAGTATTTAGATTAACTCTCATTGCGAACGTTGCAACGTTTGCGCATACCAGGTTTCATGTTCATGCCTTGACGACCATAGGGCCGGGATATCTTGCATTCATGCTCACGCGGTCGCCACATACGTTCCTGAAGGTGATTTCGAGTGTTTTGGAGAGGGTATATGTAAATCAAATATTTTTCAAGCCAAGCGATTGTTACGTCCACTTATACATCGACTTGATAGTCGTGATGCCGTCACATTACCGGAAAATGCGAACGCGTTTGAAGGCGAAGGATGGCATGTTGGGAACGTCGTCGGAACCGAGGAAGAGTACATCGGCGGTAGTGTAGTTGCGGAGGAAGTAATTGCTGAAGACCATCTTAAGGAAATTTATCACGATTGCGAAGGGGTGAGCGATCTTATAGCAATTTGTTGGTTGAAATCCTTATTTCAGGCACAGGCTCATTTAGCAGAAGTTACTCGTACTTTGTTCAAAAATAAAAATTACGACCTTCTTGATCAAGTCAGCCGGGGAGTACGAAAAGTCCTTGGAGAATTGCCTGTGCAAAATGTCCAGTTCGCAAGACGAAAGGTACTACAAACTACGGGAACCGGGCCAAAACCGCAGCCAATAGAAGTGCCTTACAAAAAGGTAGGTCTACATCTGTCTGTTGATCATGTGACTTGCATATTAAGTTTGTTTCAGCGAAGCACGGTTAAAGCGGAGAAGAAACAAAAGAGAAAATGACATACGAACGATTACGTGGGACGACTACGAATGATGATTGATTCTCCATGGCAATTTGCTGAATCCCGACCAAATGAGTTCATTTTTTTCAATTTCGCCTCTTCCTTGTTGAATTGAGGGAATAGATTTTTGTATCCCAGCTTCATTTTGTTTGATATCAGCTAGCTTGATGTTTGGGTACTTGTTTCTATTGCTAATTTGTTGTTGTCCACTCTCAGTGGACAACAACAAATTAGCAATAGAAACAATGAATGAATGCGCTCCTCTCACATTCAGTGCTCTCTAGAATCTTTTACATACGTCGTTTCGCCATTCCGCAAAGTCGCGCTGTGGCTTATCATCAAATCAAAGAAATTTCACTGGTGTTAAAACCATTGTAAAGAAGTCTAGCCACTCTAAAATCTCATCATGCAACTACTGATTTACTATGTTTCGAAATGTGCTTTTTATGATACTCAGATTGTTACGGGTCCAGATTTACGCACAGACAGGAAATGAATTCTCCTTGCTTTTTTCCCTGCAGTCATCTAATAACGTATAGACTGTGTCGTTGTCATCATTGTTTTGTACTCATGCTTAAGATACAAATGATGTTGTTGTCACTCAGATCTGATCAAAAATTGATACATATAACTGTGCCGTAGATACTTTTGATCAGAAATTGTTGGTTTATATTAATTCGTTTGAATCTCCTTTGTTCACTTAGATCTTGTTTTGTAACTAACGTTTCATTTGACGTTATTCGCAAATTCTAGTAAGAAATCAAATACGGTTACTGTCAAGTGCAAGCTCTAGATTTATTTTGCAGGTTTTTGAAACCAATGCACAATAGTATTCTATTGAAAGAATAAGAGTAATAAACTTTTCTAACTTTCGACTGTCATAAAGTTCGATTAACAATATAACTTGATGGGACAAAAACGTGATCATTCTTGAACCTCGCGGCAGATTTACAACTTTTTCCATAGCAAGTGGGGAGCGGGCACAAGACTGAGAGAGAACAAAGAAGTTGTACTCTGAAAACCAATCAAAAACGGTTGAAAACTGCTGTCTCTGGGAATATGGTTTCAACAACATATATCCTTTGTGAACTAGGCGCCAGGAAGGAGCTCTGTTAATGAGGATATTAATCAGTCAATATCAAGTGACACGATTCTCTTCCTGTACCCATGGGCTTGCGATATTATGCAAAGCAATGAACTACATTATGGCCTGAAAAGACTTGTAACGTAATCCAGAACGCGAAGCGTACATTACTGACGATGAGTATGGTCCTGAGGCCCTATTCATGCCAAAACTTGGAATACTTTCTCGACAAAAAAGGAAAAACTTCAGTTTCATGAAGTTTTCCAAAGTTTTCCTACAAAACAACATTTATTTCGTTCTCAAACAGTGCACCATCTCTTCGCAGCAATCTCGCTGACTAAGTCACATCTCCTCACTGCGAAGTTCTACTTCTGCAGCACGTTCCTCCGTAGTTCTACACATAATAAGCAACAGCGATATAAGTAGTTTATAGTTTGATAGGAGACAACTTCAAACACACACATTATTTAACTTGTGATCAACTACTAGCATGCTTCACAAGGATATGGGGAAGGATACATGTGATTGTTATTATGTTCCAAGCGAGATTTACCAAACACAAAAGCTTGGTCATTGAAGCTGTCTTGAACAATGAAAGAAAAACAAATAAAGAACCACAAATCATGATGACCATAACATAACAAAACCACCCTTTGAACTCGGATGACTAGAGGAGAGGAAAAACCTTAGCAGCAACAACAATGAAGAAAAAGGTGTACTCCGATAATGACGGCTGTAAACGCAGACAACGATACCTAATAGAAGAAGATAAGGTCGCAGGCGATGAGCACTGCGAAATAGGAGGAATAGACCAAACAGAGGCTCATAAGATAGTATAGATCTACACAACAAGTATAATAGTTTGCTCATATAATTCTTCCAAAGGTGTATTTGGATGGAAACGTGCACTATCCGGCAGCATCACCCAAATTTTGCCCTTGAAAATCCAGAATAGAGCGGATCTTAATGAATGCGTGACTAGCACTTACATACAGCCAAAAACGAAGAGAAAATTTTGGGAAAATAGTAAGAAGAATCAAACTTACTTCATATAATCGCTGTTTGTGTGCGTTTCATCTTCACTTAATTTCAAGCGCAAACATGCTTTTATCTTCATCGCTAGAGTGAGCAAGTCTTAAACTGAATCAGCCAGCAACCACAGCTGAATATATACTTTTGCTCCGAAGAAAGCCAAAACAAGAAAAGTACTGATCGAATAGCGAAGTCTCAATTGTGCGAAAAACAGGAACTCACCGAATTCTCAGTATCCTTCATTGTGCTCACGTTGGAGGACGTAGCTTTCATTTCAGAAGACAATGGTTCTAGTTTGAGTGGCGTTCTTCCTGAAGATACCGAAATATATTTACTTAGTCAAATTATACCAGATCTGAGACAAAGACAGTAATGTCAACAATTTGACGCATGTCCGTTATCGCTAGGGTATCTGAGTGAACTACTCAGTTGTCCATCACCGCTAATGTACCTGAGTTCTCACCACTCAAGCAATATTGATAAATATGCGAGAGAATCCAGCACACAAATCGTACGGAAGTTGTCAAAAGAGCCTGCGGATTCTATGTTAGAGCACCGTAAGGCAAAAAAACATTCTCATCAAATCTGATACTCACCAGTTGCTTCCTTGATCTTGCTCTCGTGAGAAACGATGACAGCAGCCAATTGACTCGTATCCAACTTAATTACTCACTGGACTATGGCAAGATCCGTGGGAAGCAGCATTGCCTATACAAATTAATCAATCTAGGTCGATGTCTCAATTATACGAAAACAGGAACTCACCGAAACTAGCATCCTTGATTGCGCTTACATTAGACGAGATTTTCTTTTAGAAGGCAGCGGTTTGGTTCATGTCTACTTTTCCTACCTTTTCAGCACTTTTCTCATGAGTGCAAGGAGTTTAGAAGCCTGAAAGTGGAGCTATAGTGGAACGAAGCGCTTTGGCGGACACTGTCATTATACATATGGATATCTACGATACGATACCTATGTAGTACCTTTCGTCTTGCGAACTGAACATTTTGCACAGGCAATTTTCCAAGGACTTTTCGTACCCCCGGCTGACTTGATCAAGAAGGTCGTAAATTTTATTTTTGAACAAAGTAAGAGTAAATTCTGCTAGATGAGCCTGAGCCTGAAATAAAGATTTCAACCAACAATTGCTATAAGATCGCTCACTCCTTCGTGGTAAATTTGCTTTAGACTGGTATTCAGCAATTACTTCCTCCAGTTACTTCCTCCTCTAAATACTGGTGATAAGGGTGCAGACAGGATCTTTTGACCTAAAGTTACCTGTTCACAGTCGCAGGCTTGTTTGAAAACAACTTTGTACACACCTCTAGTTGTGGACAAAACCTTCCAGCTGTCCTCTGTGTCCCTTATTATCGATTGTATAGTAAGATATACTCATATATCTATAAGTTGAAGAAGAATGCACATACGGCACATCTGCAGAGCTGTATGGCTTGTTAGTGCTTTTGCACATTGACTCTTCTTCGATTGAAAAGGTCGCAAAGTTTTAAACCAACTGTAAAAGTCCCGTATTCAAAGTTTGAATTACACAATACAGCGTTACCGACTTATGATGTGAGCTGTAATTCCAGAGAAAGCTTCCATACTACTATAGCTTCCATACTACACCATTGAGTCTGCTGCTTTGTTTCGTAGGCTTGTGTTCTTAAGTTTTCGATGTCAAACTCGGCATGGTTCGACGTATGAGATGGAGCCGTAGCATACTTGCCATTCAGTCTTCAGCAAAGTGTACGTCTTTCCCGTACTAAAAAGCTTTTGACTCAAGGCGTACTGCAAGTAAGCGATAAACTAACAGTTTTTATCTGCGTGGCGCCTATTGTCGTGAACCAGCTAAGGCAGTCAGCGTATGCGTTCTCAAACTTCAGCGGGTCGGTCTCGATCAATCTCGATTTTTATTCGGCTTTGTGCAGCAGAAGCGTTGCCAGTCATTCAGTATGACACCAAATGCGCGCACGGGAATCCATTTCCATATCGTCAACTACCAATACGATAGTGAATCGAAAACAATACCGGGTGATATTAGAAGCGTCATCGAAGAAGACAAGTCCTCACCCGCAGAAGAGTCCTCCCCCGGAATGAAGATGACGTCCATTGTGAAGAATCACGACACGCCACATTTTTTGCTGTGATAAAACAGAACCGTGCTTGCCTCTGTGGAGCAACGTACGACAACCGCCTAGTAGACCGCAATTTTTAGAATATTCAAAGAGCAGGCACATAACAAAACTTCTTTGTTTGAGAAAGGATCAACGTACGATATTTGCGGAAATTCCAGCTTCAATCAAAAATCTTACAACTGTCACATCGCTTGCTGATAAAGGTATGGCAGCACTATTCAGCTCGTGTCCTACGTGGCCAAAACACGCTATAATACTCAACATGCCGTCTTCCCGCTGCGTAACCTGAGGCACAAACAATGGCATCAAGTGTACAATTTTTATGCACTCTTTTAGTTTATCGAAACCTTTGCTTTCGCTTTCGCTCAGCAGCGTCAATACGTCCATCAGCATCATTCGCGCTGTGACAAAAATATACATGTGTAATGCCCTTGATAGTTTCAGAAAACCACGTTTCATCAGCTTAGAGCAAGTTCTGCGTTCTTCTTCTCCTTTCGGACCTCAACAATTGTAACGTATGTGGAACCTCCATGCACGTTAGAAGTACCTCGAAGATAGACCACAATGTAAAGGTCTTTCTCTGAACAGTAAGATCAGCAGAAGATGTAAGAGCCGGCAAAACTCATTCAGATACACATGTGAAAGTGATCCCCGATCGCAGATTGGACAAGTTTCTCCATGACAGAATCATGAGTCGATTTTGTCGGATGCGCTTTTGTGCTCCCTCAGCCCGTCTTTTGAATGACAGATAGCTCCGCATTCGCAAGTAGACTCATTGCCAGACATAATTCTTGGCATTGCATACGCGTTTCATTCCTTCTTGACTGCAGTTGTGGACGTTTCGCAGGTGTTTCCATAAGTTTGCGACGAAGAACGTTCCCCGATTGCAATTGTCGCTAAAGGCGTAATTCTTGCTCATGGTCTAAACGATGGATATCGAAAGTCCAACATCAGTCACATGAAAAGAATCAGTTCTCAGTTCAAGATGACAGCTGAGCCCCCAATTAACTACCCTAGGGACCGCTTCAAAGTGTTTCTTGTGAGATTTTATGTAGTGTACTGTTTTCATTTTGTTTGTGACCAGTTGTTTGGAATTGTAATGACTTGCTGTGACGACTTGCAGCGAGGTCTTCTAACTTAAATGAATATAATTACACATTCGAGTCATGACTTTATCATGGAGATGTTCCCATTCCCACCCGTTCTCATCTGAACCAAGTATAAACAAGATCCATAGTTTCGCCTTTGAGGCCCCGTTACTAGGATAGTGCGCAAAAGCGGCAAGCGGCAGGCTGCCAGCCCAGTATAAAGGCATCCTAAGGTAAGTAGCTAATCGCCGACAACACAGGCCTTGGCCCGGCCTTTGTCATCGCTGGCTAGAATTGTCCAAAGTGATAACGCGCTGTAACAGCTGGGTGCTGGGTGCTATACGTACCTAGCTGCTTAGGTATGGACAAAACCAACGAGCAGCGAAGGCAGCGCTGCTCAAAAATGAGTTGCTAGGTAGGGACATGACTTCTTTAGGTGCTGCAGCGTAAGGCAGCGGCGTCGCTTCACTGCAATCGATAGGCATTGAATGCGTTGCTGCCACCGCTACGTATAAACACCCGACGCCAGGTATGTATCGAGCCTAAGGTGCGTAAAGGCATAAGAATACTCTACGTACCTCATAGCCTTCATCATTAAAAGAATCATCAGAGTCGAGGTGGTAAGCATTATCCGTTGGCGGTTGCGTATCCGTGTATTCGATTTCATCGAAAGAATCATGACCCTAGGGAAAAAAGATGGAATCGAATAGGCCTAGTAAGTTATCAAACAAACTAAGCGTACATGAGTTAATCTGTTTGAAAAAATGCTAGTATCTCTCTATTACTCACCGCTGGCTCATCATCTAGCAAGATGCAGTCATCATCGTTCATCTTGGAGTATAATTTCGACATCACTTTCTTCCATTACTTCATCTAAACAAAGACTTTGTATCAAAAAGACTAAAATGAGTTCTCAAGCTTACTCGGTACTCGCGCATTCGAGGTAGGTAACTTTTCTGTAGTGGAAGGAACTGCTGCTAAGGTAGAGGGTTGTTGGAAAATTGGAGGTGCTGCCAACACTGAATCTTGCTGGACACTGCTCTAAAGATAACTTTTTCTACATTACAGTTGAATCGCCGATGCAGTAATGTATGACATTGTGGACTGTACTCATTCGAGGTCTAAGGTCTAGCATTTCTGCAATGAGACAGTGGTCAAATTGGCAGAGCCGCAGACAGTCAGTCCATAATGGCATGCATTCAACATGCCGTAACCTCATAAGCATCACTGTCGATTATGATAGAGATAACAGAGACTGACAGTTGCATAGACCAGACAATTAGTGCAAGTAAAACACTGATTAATTGAGAGTAGGAGCGATCGCTTACTTCAAATTTCTCTGGCCAAGTTTGGAGCTGCCAACCAAGGTGGATTCTACTCACAAAATGCCTTTACCGCTGCAGGAGTCTGTGCACATTTGTCAACTGCTTTGCGTTCTGTTCCTCATCATGCGCTCTCTTTCTGCGTTTTTCTCCTCGATAAGTGTTTCAGAAACTGTGTTCAGCAAGTAGTTCAAAAACTCGTGCGCATCTTGTTGCATGTAACTGTCGAAAAGTTCTGAGATAGAACCATGAATATATGCAATAAATCAGAAATCAGTAAAGCTGAATCGATCACTGACCATTTTCTTTTTTCAACTTGGTGATAAATCGCTTCGGAGCTATTGTGTTAACTCGCCGCTTTTGTTAGCGATGTTGTGGAATAGGTCAGCGAGGCAAGTCACCAAGTTTTCTTTTTGGCTACCTAAAAGCCTACCTTACCACCGTTGACTAATAGGAAAATAACCAAAACGACAAGAAGCACAAGTTATGTTTTCTATAAAATATGACTCATCAACTGAGGACAAAAGGGAGTTTTAATGAGGAGCAGCAAGGCATAGCATTTCGATATGACGAAAAAACCAATTTTTTGCTCTCAGAAACACTAGTCTGGACAGCTCAAACCTGATAAAAAGACTTCAGTCAACAATGTTGAAAATAGTTTTTGCAAGTATTATCTAGACTGCAGATAGTTACCGCTAAAGATTGCTTATGAGGACGTGAGCTGATACTGTCCGTATAGAAATTCACGCATATGTCATTCACAAAACATTTCGGTTTTCACTAGCGTTACTTATCACAATCAAATAACAGTTTTACGACTATCAGAGACTTTTGCAAAACCAAGCAAAAGAAGACTCCTCAATTGCAATGCCCACAAGCCCAGCTTCACTTCTGTAGCCAAAAGATCATATAGAATTGCGAAATTGAAAACTGGACAGAGATCTAGCAAAGAGATGCAGCAATCAGCTATTTTTCGCAAAATCAAGTTTATATAATGCACCTTGTCATGTTTGGTTGTTCATGACTATACAAACTAGAAGTTATTTACACTGATTCCTACGTACCAACAAAACTTGAATACAGATACTGAAAAAAGTACCAGATCGTTGCCGTTGGAGGTTGAGGTGGCTCCATGTCAGGAGTCACGCCGCGCGCCGCGCCGCTTCGCCGCGAACGTCGCGTCTAAATTTTGTACCCCACAGAACTGCCCGGCGCCAAAGTGGCACGGCGCCAGTCTTGGGGGGTGGGGGGTGGAGGCAGATACATGGCTCGTGTCATAAGTAAGACTGCGCCAGAAGTGCTAGCTTCTACTTTGCTGACATCGCTCGCGGCATCGCTTCGCGGAAAATTCGCGCCGACCGTGACTCCTGACCGTCCCCCGTTGAGGTCACAGAATGACTCAAATGTAGCGAAGAAAGAAGACGACAGATAATACAGGCAAAACATCGTCACAAAAAATGAACAAAATCCAATGATTGGTAACGTACCTGATTTTTTGAGTTGCTGCTTATACTGGAGTATTTTTTCACGAAATGGACGGCAGAAATATAAAGCTTGTATGACGGAGTTGCAATAGCATGTATTCCCAAACTGTAAATATTTCAAACTTAGAACGGCAGGATTTGAAACTGACACGCGATATGTTAGAAAGCAAGAAGTTCTGTAAAAATAACTTGCGAAATGTCAACTCAGGCAGCAAATCAAGCAAATGAATGCAAAACTCATAACAAATGTCTAACAGACAGATACCTACGTTGACTAGTCCAGCATAGAAGGACGGCGGCTCGGGAGAGCCGCTGGACAACTCGAAAAGCGGTAGCAGAGTGGGCAATCCCTAGTATAGGCGAAACGAAAGCAAAGAGTGATGATATAGAAAGAGAAACGAAGGAATTAGGTGCTTTGGGGGACACTGGGAGCGGGACCTACCGTAATCCGCATGGGTCCCAACGCGAACCGCGGTGCCGCCGCCGCGCGGATGCGATCGCCCACTCTGCCGTTACCGGTCCTCCAAAATGACCACCAAGGATCCGCCTAAGTCGCATTCCATGTAAAGTTTGTAGCCAAAATCAAAAAAAATTTATTATCTGAAAATTGCATTTCTGCGATAAAGAATCCTACAGATTTCCAACTTGGTTATTATACAGTAGGCACATAGTAGTACTCAACTATGCCTTTAGCGATTTTTTTCCAAGCTTAGAAAGCGAGAAACAAGAATTATCCAAAAATGGCAGACTCCGCCCTAAGCCCCTCCCACATATGTCATTGTATACTACAAGCCTTACTAAGTATAATTTCAAAAACTTACCCCTGTACGTGCTCTTATGTCCGAGAAATACCAAGTTTTACATAAAAATCCCAAAAAAAAGTGGCATTTTGGCATTTTGGGACCCCCTTCGTTTCTCAATTTTGAACTCAAAAAAATAAACCAAAAACATTTTTCGATACTACTATGTGTCTACTATATAAGGACCAAGTTGGGAGTCCATAGCAATTTTCTGAAACGAGATCCGATTTTTAGGGTAGCTGAAAATTTTTAATTTTTGGAGCAAAATTTTACCTGGATAGCGACTTAGACGGTTCTTTGGGGGTTATGTTGTAGAGCTTGCTTCGCTCTATCGAATGGTACCCCAAATCCGCCAGAAAAACAAAAACAGTTTGATTCATGCAAAAATACGGTTTACTTTTGGGACAACCTAATAGTTTGGGAAGATGCTCACGATTTCGGCTGTATTTCGTCGTACGGCGATATGTAGCAGACTTGCGGCGTTCTCGTCACTACAGCATTAGCGGGCTCCTCAGAAAAAGCACTGGTTCGAAGTTAATTCGTTGCGAAAATACAGAAAAAAATTGCACGTAGTAGCAACAATCATCAACGTATTAGCATGCTGTTGCTAGATCTCGAGGCTGAAATGTAGCCTACCGCAGTTCAAGCAACGACAATCAAGCAATTCTAGGTGTTCAATGCGTACCATGGGCTTCTGAGTGCTTTTTCGAAAGTATGAGCAACGTTATGAGGCTAACGTCATCGTCACTTCGTTTTCTTTCCCATTTCACATTCGGTCCTCATTGTTTTGGTTGTGACATTTCGGATGTTCTTGCAAATTAAAAGAGAGTTTATAATCAACAACTGGATATATACGTCTTTCGTATCCAACAAATCCTCTTAGCGCAAGTAAAAGTAGGGGAGTAAGCTCAATGTGGGAGTGATCGCTTGCAGCCAGACGGATGGTACAGAGTAAGTGTGAAGACTCAAAGTGCTGGAAAAGGGTCCACTTTTTTATTAGGCGATATATTGGTTCATAAACTAACGCAACTAACTCCGTAACATCTCGCTTTTTAAAATTGGCGTGCTTATAGTTTGATATTGCGTAGATTATAGCGTGATTAATCAACTGCGCGTAGGAGTGCAGAACTTGACAACAGTCTGTCTATTCCTGGAGTGGCGGCACGAAAAACCTCAGAGGCGCGCTGGATTTCGACTAGAAATCGAGCATGAACGTGAAAGAGGAACGCATAGCCATAACGATCAGCGTAGCCCGGGGCTCCGCATTACATCGTTAGCGCCCAGCAGTGAGTCTGGGGTTCTATTTACCGGTTAGAATGGTGATTTGTTTCGTTTCGGCACGTCGTAGAATTTGTCCGCTATTGCTGTTCAATTTATTGCTGCTAAGCTTTGAAAAGAAAAGATCTCATGTGTTTCTTACTTCCAGGCTTCGACGAAGGCGAACAGGCCAAAACGTTAGCAATAAAACATCATAATAATCTTGCTGTGGTTGTACCAGTCAAAAGAATGCCTTAAGCAAATTTAGATGTTCAACTTTTGCTAATTTGGTGTCGCTTTAGGAATATAGGAAAACGTATGAGATATTCCGTACAAAGACATTTAGAGAAGAGGACTCGAATGCTTGCTTAGAAAAACAGGAAACAATCGAAGAGAGTAAATAAGTCGTAGCCTCACAATCCTCCTCGCCCGCAGTTTCTGCCGTTCGTCATGCGGGCGCAATTTTAGCACATGGGTTCCCACGTCCGCTGCGGGGTGGAGCAGCTTATACCTAGCTTATACTTACCACGTTACTGCGACATCACATTTGATAGAACAGTAGCCACGCTTGTAGCTTACAGCTTATTTGCTACTATTCCCTTGTCAGCTAAAGGAGCGTGTTACCGTATTCACGTCCATCTGTTTACGAAGAAGTACTGAGAAAACATAGCTCAGCGTTAAAATTAGTTTAAATCAAAAGTTGCACTTACATCGATTTGATAAGGGCAGAAAATCAAATACTTCATCATGCCCTCAGTGTACATGGAGTTCAAATCTCTCATGTTAACGAACTGCGTCGATTTGTAATGAACGAAGTACTAAAAAAAGTTCAACACCTGCTTAATGTCCAAACGCCGCATGGTACCGTATTCATTCAAACTGGTAAGGGAAGCAGTACTAAGTAAGTTCATAAACTGTTCATTGACCAATGGAGTCCAAGTTTGCACGTTACCGTATCCAAGTCGATT